AATTAACTAAAATGTTTGCAAATAGAAGCCGTAGTTGTTGTCCAGTTTGTATATTTGATGCTTCATTAAGGCATTGAACCCATTCTAAGTCATGTTGAAGAAGATTCATTTCATGACATGCATCTTTGAATGTTGGATATTGAATACCATTTACAGTACACAGATGTTCGAATGATTGGGCCCCACATACAACATTAAGGAGCATGCATAAGTAATAATGTTCACTTGCACCCGGATGTACAAAATAAAGATGCCCAATAACATTTCCACGTTTACACAATTTCCACTTTTTTGCTTGCTTATCAAAAACAAACTTACATGGAAATTGTGCATATGTATAGTTTTTTGCCAGATTCGATAAAAAAGGGTCACTATTTGCTTGAAACTATGCTGTTAAGGTCGTTTGTTGATTATTTGCTCGTTGTAAGACTATATCCAATGCTTCATTATCTGAGAATGTTATTAAATGTTGGTTTGGTAAATGTATACTTAGTTTAATAACATCAGATGCTTCATTATGCATTTTATAGTGCATAATGCGCCAGAAAGATTTTAATGCTGATACATAACGGGCATCTAGGTATTGTTGAATTTCATTTACTATTTCAGGCTTGTTTGAGCCAGCATTTAAATTTTCTTTGTTACTAATTATTATAGTTGCATGATCATGCCTTTTGTAAATGTATTTAAAAAGGTATTTCACTGCCCAAATAGAAGAACAAATCTCAATGTTGATGTGGCAATTAAATTTTTTACAAAGATAAAGATTATGTGGTACAACCCAACAGTTGTCCAGTTGAACACCTTTGACTTCTACAGTCTGACCGTTATTACATCACCGATATATAGAGTATCCATTTTCATTTTCACTGGATACTGCCTGAAATGGTTTAAGAAATCCTTTTGAATACCTTCCATTTTGCATACATGGTGCATTCATGTTTAGTAGACCACAGGGCCCATGCATCATACTTTTAATAACAGTTAAATATTCATCTGGATACTTATCTGGATTGGGAATTTCAGAAGATACAATGAGATCGTAGTCATCCATAGTACGTAGTTTGTTTTCATCTGCAAGCATTATGAGCATATGTGCATGTAACAGGCCACGCTTTTGTGCTTCAATAACATAGATATATGCTGTTACTTTACCAAAAATTCCTTTTTTTAATATATCATTTAGCAAAG